AAACCTCCGTGTTTATACTTGACATCTATATTTGATTTTCAGATGTAATTTATGCACTCATCTGAATCCTGCCCACATGTTTATTAGTAGAGGCTGGGTAACAAGCTGCATTCTACAGTGTCAATCTGTAATTGCCCCCTGTTGATTCTCTCATTGCAATAATTGGACAAACAATGAATCTTCCCCAATTAGTCCATTTGTTGTAATTAATGCATCCAATTCATCATAAGTGACGGGAACAAGCAAAAATACTATTTCACATTATAATATTTTTTTTTTTTTGCAAGCCAAGTGAAAGACACTGTGGCTATTTTTAAAGTCATAAAATATAAACTTTTTAAAAAAGAAACACTTTAAATCTGGTGAAATTTCTCCATTTTAAGGGTCAACTCAAGACTCCAGCTTAAACTCCTCTGGGAAAAGCAAGTTTTAAAAGGGTCCTTTATTTTAGTTAATCCTTCAGTTTGTGAAAGTAACATTGTCTTTATGCTCTTGGTAACTTGGACTATAAATTACTTCCTGTTTAAGGGCAGACAGGATTTTTTTAAAAAGTTGAATTCACTGAGTTGTTTCATACAGTTACTAGGGATGCAAGTGTTAGCTAAGTATTAATAATCATGGTCAATATATTAACAAAGTTTCTTGTTGCTAAAAATTACTTCTTTTTTAAAAAGAGAAAAGGGTGTTTACATTGAAAAAAATGGACAGAGTAGGAGCATTAAATCAAAAACTTTACATCCATGGTTCTAAGATACATATTTTCCCCATATAGTAACATCTATGAAATCAAGATTCATTTAATACTCAAACACGTGCCATAGTTTTAACTGGAAATATTTTTTTTTCTTTCTTACTGACACATAAAATAATGGCATGCCTTGGGGCTCCTGGGTGGCTCAGTGGGTTAAGCCTCTGCCTTCGGCTCAGGTCATGATCCCAGGGTCCTGGGATCGAGCCCCACATTGGGCTCTCTGCTCCACGGGGAGCCTTCTTCCTCCTCTCTCTCTCTGCCTGCCTCTCTACTTGTGACCTCTGTCTGTCAAATAAATAAATAAAATCTTTAAAAAAAAATAATGGCATGCCTTATAATCAATGACATCTTAGATTCAATGAAATACATACAACACATTATTTGCTAACGACAGACCTTACTAATACACGTTTTACGTAAAGGTATAGTTCTTAAAAATGGAACTGCAAATCTTCATTGAACTCATAACAAATATTATAGGCTGTATCAATTCTTTCTACAGATGAATGTGTTTCAGATTTTCACTGAGTTTAAGCTTAGATCTAAGGAGGGAAGTCAATAAAACATTTTACCTGCTTGACATTTAAAAATTACAGAACCTCTAAAGACTACTAATTGCATATGATTAATAATCTTAAAAAATGTAATAAATTTATACCATATATTTTTCAGGGTTTTTTTTGGTCAGATGCCAAGAAACAATTAATTAATATATTTGTATTTTATCCAGATATTAAATTCTTATTTTGAATACATGCAATCAGGGTCTCATTGTTACTTTATTAACAACATGGACTATGAAGTGAAAATTCCCAATTTCTGATGACCCATTATATTTTCCCTCAGACTTTGTTAATTCATTTTTCCCTTATATAATTTATTTAGATTTAATTTATTTAGATGTAAATGTATCTCTACAGACATGCATATGGACAAACTTACATGTTAGGTTTTATTTTAAAAACACACATACATATATATGTATATATACAATGCAAGGTAATTAATAAATGTTATTTTCCTTCTTTCTTTTTGGGGACTCAAACTATAGCAAAAAGGGCACAATATAATTTCAGAATTATGCTTTATTGTTTTCCTTATAATATGATGTCCTTAATTTCTTTCTTCTTTTTTTTTTTTTTAAGATTTTATTCATGTATTTACCAGAGAGAGAGAATGAGAGAGCATGTGCACAACCAGGGGGAACAGCAGGCAGAGGAAGAAGCAGGCTCCCGGCTGAGCGAGAGCCCAATGCATGACTCGACCGCAGGCCCTTGGAATGATAACCTGAGACGAAGGCAGAGGCCCAACCGACTGAGCCACCCATGAGTCCCAATATCCTTAATTTCTGCTTGACTTTGATAAATACTTCCTAACTCAGAGTTTTCTGCTTTCACTCAAGAGAAAAGCTACTTCTAGCCACCCAATGCCTAACATACAGAAAGAATAATTATGAATACAAAAACGAAAACATTAATTTTAATCATGAAGGGCTGATTAAATTTATAGGGCCACAAAATATTTTAAGTACCAAAATCATTCTACCTATGCCAATCCAATAATCTGTAACCCACAGAAATAAGTTCTAATTGACAACATGGAAACATAATTTAAATGTTAAAGTTATACACCATAAATTTGCTCTTATCTAAAAAATGCTCTTATTAAATCATGTGATATACTACTATATAATCTCAGATAGAACCATAAGAAAATTCTGAAGTCTTAGAATGAATTTATTTTAGACTCTCACGCTCTACTATTACTAAACCATTAGCTATGTCCCTGCGGTTTCAGTGAAGGATTAGCTTGCCATTTCTATTTTTGATTTAACAAATCAAATTCAGCCATTTGGCATCATTTAATATTTAATCTCTTATTCATTCATTTATTCCATAAAATTCATTCCATTCCATTCATGGAGCGTCTTAATACTAAAGAAATATCTGCTACTCTAGTTGAAAGGCAGCTTGTTAGACCCTGACTGCCAAGATCATGACCAACATTAAAACAGAAAAAGGCTGTTTCCCTACTTCACTTCGTTATTTTACACCTGCCGTTTCCATTTCAACTCACTCCCTTCCACATAATTGCAAACCGCAAACAAAATTTACCTCTCCTAAATGCTACCCTAGCTACCTGATAAACAGAAGCATGCTCGTATGAAAAAAGCCATTAATAAATTATACTACCCCTCTTAACAATTAGCAACTGTTTTAGTTTTTCTGCTTGATTTTTTTTTTTAAAGTAGATGTGCTACCGAAGTGAGCACTGTCTGCCTAACTTTTTAACTGGTACTATCTTGGAAAAGAGCCTTAATGGAAAGAGAACTTAGGCAGACCAGTGAAACTTTAGGCTTGAAGAAAGGGGCGTGACTCCTGGCCGCAGCCTTCTCCCTAAATAGCTGCATGCTATTTATGATTTCAGAAAATAATGACTAACATTTATTAAATTCCGGGTACTGCTCCATATGCTTTAAATGCTGTTAAATCATTTCATCCCTAAAATAACACCATGAGGCAAGTACTATCATTATCCCCTTTTTACACAGGAAGAAATTAAAGGTTGGAGAGGTTAAGTATTTGTCCAGGGTCACACTGCTTGTAGGTGACAAAACTACTACTACTGGTATCTTTTGCCTCTACCTATTCCCTCCCAAATTTAAACTTTTTTTTTTTTAATATTTTATTTATTTATTTGACAGAGATCACAAGTAGGCAGAGAGGCAGGCAGAGAGAGAGAGAGAGGAGGATGCAGGCTCCCTGCAGAGCAGAGAGCCCGATGTGGGGCTCGATCCCAGGATCCTGGGATCATGACCCGAGCTGAAGGCAGAGGCTTTAACCCACTGAGCCACCCAGGCGCCCCCCAAATTTAAACTTATTGTAACTTTTGAACTTTCCCTACCAGTTTCTCTTGGTTTGTGCACTATTTTTTTTAATGCCCGTCCAAATAGTGTATACAAGCACTTTGCCTATGTCTCCATATAAATTGAAACTAGAAAACTTAAATTATACTAGTTCTTAATACATTAAAAGATTAAATATGGGATTTCCTAATTAAAACTAGACATAATATTGGAAAAATAAGATACTTTCATGCCAAAACCTTTAAATATAACAGGAGCACAAATTTAACTTTCAAATTTCATTTTTGCTGCCTGCAAATAAAATATGAAAATCACAAACATTAGTCACTGCTCTATTATGACAAGAGAGCCCATGTTATTTAATGGTTTGGACTGAAAGGCATCAGGATATGACAATATAATTCAGTTTGGTGGCTACACTTAAAATGCTGAGAATTAATTTGTTTTACAAATTTGTATTCTATATATCTATATAATGTATCAATTATTTCTTAAGCAAATGAAGATTTTAATAATAAAGAAATTCTTTACTATGTACTTTGTGTGGAAAAAAAACAGATTAAACACTTTATCTAAAATTTCACATAAAGCCTTCAAAATGACAAAATATTCTTGCAAAAATAATTCTAAACTGTTGACCTTGTGCTATTTTTACCCCTGCATGCAAAAATTTAAATATGACACAAATATTAACATTTATTATATTTTATTTTTTGAAAATGTATCAGATGAGTAGTCAAATAAAAACACCAAAGATTAATGTACCCTTCTAGAGCAATTCCTTGGCCTTATAATTGTCTTGGAGCATTAATCCTTACCTGGCCTCTTTATTACATAAAGTAAATCAGAAAGACAGTGAGGGAGTAGACCAGGAAGAGCTGAGAGCTCCTCATAGTTGAGTTAAATGGTCTTAGTTTTCTTGTCATTCCATTTAGTCCAAAGTTGTGGGTTTATGAGAAAGGATTGTATCTCACATTTCCAAACTATAAGCTGCCCAATGAAGTACAACTAAGAGGTAAAGAAATCTTATCCAAGATTTCAATGCACTTTCTGTAAAGAAAGTGAATTTGGAATGGGCACAACAATGGGTTTGGTTTTGTTTTCCTTTTTCCGTTTTATGTATGAAATATTTTCCTACTTTAAATGCTTTTTACTAATATTAGCGTACAATAAGCTATGATAGCAGAATTGTAAAATTCAGTAAATCTTGGAATATTCCCCAATTCATTCAAAAAAGGAAATAAGGTACACACAGAATCTAACAACTTAAAACTTCAAAGAGGAAGTTAATACATTACACACAAATCAAAAGTAAAAGATGAAACAGACTGCGCTTTGACAAAAAAATTCAAAGGAATTAAATTTAATTCTCAACCAACTTACCCAATTTTTGTCTTCTCTTTTAACTTAGAACAAGTTTTTGTTTTTTTGCTCTCTTTGTCCTTTGGCTTCGATTTCATCCGTCTACCTTTCTTTTCTTCTTTTCCTTCAACTGAAGCACTAGGAAAGTTTTCAGGACTCATTACTCGAGGAATATTACGTTCCCCACGTTCCTTTGCTTTTGCTATGGCTTCTGATATTATCCGATTAGCCTTTTCTTGCTTGCTTTCTGATTCCACTTTTTTTCTCTGCTTCTTCTCGGACATGATCCTCACCTGGGTATTCTGCAACTTAGTATATGTCCCAGAACCATCACTCTTCTTGGAAGATGGAGGCTAGAGAAATCAGAATACTTTTTATACAATGTATCAAAGTACACCAAAACAATTAACAATTAACATAAATAAATAAACATTTAAAATTATGCTTCAAGTAAAATATGTGAGCCAGTATGTGAGTGCTACAAAGAAATTTAAAATTAAAACAGTTTGCTGATCTGGACATTAGTGTAGGTATAAAATAAAAAGCTCAACTACTGCTTTTAAAAATGAAGGTTAAAGAAGGATAATGTAGATTCACTGATATTTTCACAGCGTTTTTGATTAGTTGATTCAAATTCTGTCCTGTAAACACTCTGTGCATTTGAAATAAGTCTTTTCTTTCCTCCTCAGGACTCCAGAACTCTGAAAATTATTAATAAATTTAAGATAGCAATTTTAATTTAGAGTGACTACTCCTTGGTTTATTATAATTTTTAGAAATCTAAAGCTTCTCTGTTTTACAAGAAATTAGAACTAGAACCTGAAATCACTTAAATCATTTTTTAAATGTGCAATCTATGCAGAAACATAGCTAGTTAGTAAACAGACATCCCCATACTTAAAATTAGAGAAAGTTTTAGTTTTTCCGTGAAGGAGTTAAATGTGAATTTTTTTCTCTTTCTATATCATAATTATTTGGCTCAAGCAATTCTGGAAAAAAACCCCAAGTTTTACAGTTTGACGTTAAAATTATTAATATTTTAGCAATATCACAGGAAGCAGTTCAACAGCATTTAAAAAAAGAATCTCTTCTTCAAACACGCATTCACCCACATAGACTTAGATCACAGTTTTGTTATGCTCTTACCCGTAAACATGCCTCTGACTATAGCAAAGGAAAAAACCACCAGGAATCTCCACACACATTTTCATGCTGATTCCAGTGTGCTTCACTGGATATCTTTTCTATACCTGCCTCATCAAAGGTTTCATAGCAGTGCTGCAGCACTGGGAAAGGAAGGAGGGTTTAGAACGCTGCCTAAAATGCCACCTTAAGGCCTACAGGCTATAACAAATAACCAAGACTCGAGAAAACAGCAACAAGCTCAAGATGGCGATGCAGTACGACTCCCGCAGCAGCAGCCAGTAATAAGGAAGGTTATTCAATCCCATTAGCCTTTTAGCCCAAAGAACCCCTCCTCCTCCCACTCATTCAGGCTTTCACTTACCCTTCCTCTTGGCCTCTTCACTGAAGACATTTTTGGCGTCAGACAAAGGCTTGCCCTCTGCTTTTTCACCACCCCAGGCAGTGCTCAAGAAAAAAGCATTGAAAGAAGATTCCTAAATGGCCTATTTAGCAAGCTGCAACCGAGAGATGCACAACCCTCCACAAACACACATTGTGATTTATCAACACATTTCTGCCTTGGCAAGTTTATATCCACTGTTCATCCTATTTAGGTATGAAAAAGGCCGTACACCCCTCCTAAAGAGCTGAGTTTCCTCAATAGCTGTAAGCAGATAGCCAGATTCCAACAAAGCACAGAAAGAAATGAATGCACAAAGCATCAAAATGCATCAGCATGAATATTAGAGATGTCGTTAAAAATACTGACTCCTTCTGCGGAAGTAGGCCAGCAGATGGTGCTACCAGTTATTATTCCATTAGACTCTGCAATTTAACCCCCGATGGACTGTTCTTCCCTCCGTGTAACACATTAACTCTTGCTCTGCCACTTCCTGCAGTCAAGTTTTTAAAAAAACACCTAAAACCTGATTTTAAGAGCTCATCTGAAAACTAAAACTGTGGTGAAACGGCTTTATGTAGCTATCAATATTAACAAACAAAATCCGGTGCAATTTTACTGGAGAAAATTACTTTTCTCCAGGATACCATAAAATACTGGAAGTAGGAAAAGAGCCGACGAGGAGCAAAGGGTTAAGGGGCAGGTCATGCAAATGAACACAGAACAAGTGACTTCTCTTTAAGAAATTAGGTAAGTTCTCTTCTGATTCTTCTAACAAAAAGCTAACAAGGTTACTTTTCAGACAGACGAAGCTATTTTCATTTAAATTCTAAAGAGAAGTTTAAGATTTCGATAAAAACACAGGAGAGCTGTCAGTATGCCCACAGAGAATAAATAACAAGTTATATTTTTTCCTTATTTAAACCTGGAGAAATATATTAGTTTATTTTCCTAACATAAAAAGACTCATAAAACCTTCCTGACCTTTACCCTTCATAATCTATTTTAACTGAACAGTGGAGTTTTTCAGATAAAATTCTAGTTTCAGTTGCTGGCTAAAAATAAATAACAAGTCCTCCTGAATTTCAGGAACTTTTCTTCCTGTAAAAAGTCGAGACTGTTTTAATAAGTAATGCCCTAACACACCTAAAACAAAATTTTCACTGCTTCAAAATTCAAGTTTACTTCTTTATTAATACCATGTTTTTCAGTTGGTCCTGGAAAGTTATATGATATTTCTATCAAAGAACATTTTTTGTTTCTTTCCTTTTAAGCACCAAAGGTCTCAGAATGGGGCAACATTATATGACCAATGTCCAGGAAAGACCAATCTGGGCAGCAGGGGAAGAAATTAAAGTTTAGAGAACCACTAATGGCAAGGAAAGGACCTGACTGTCCTGAGAGGTCGTTCACAAGAACCACTTAGTGCATACTAAGTGCCAGGTACTACTCTAAGTATTTTTCACATAATAACTCACTTAATCTGGAACAGTAACAGGGAAATGGCAATAATGGAGAGAAGAGGAGTAGCAAATGGTAGATGTACTCTTACAGCAGTATTACAAAATGCTAGAACAACCTGAGCACAAGCAAAAAAAGTCATAATGGTAACAATAGTACTAAGAGCTAGCACATATTTAATCCTTTCTGTATTCTAGGCACTATTCTTCATTATATGTGTGCATATATATATATATACATACATACATACGCTCAATCTTTAAAACAACCCTGTTAGGTATATATATACTTATAGCTGAGGATACTGATATATGAAGAAGTAACTCACCCCAGATCACCTGGTGAAGCAGGGATTAAAAGGCAAAGAGCCTTGTTATGAGCACCAGCCTCCTAATCATATGTGGTTCAAACAGCATAATGTACACAGATTGATCTGAATATAAAAGAAGCCAAACGACTTTCTCAAAATTGCAGAGACACTAGCAATAAAGCTAGGATGAAAGGAATTTTTTCCTGTGCCCTTTCCAAGATGTAGAAATCAATTAGATACGGGCAGGTAAAGAGCAGGGAGCATAAATGCTTAGTTTCTAGACCAAGTGCTGGTTTAGGAGAAGGTAAAAGAAATAGGATATCTAGTCAAGAAAGGATGTATATATGTGTGCAATAAGTTTAAAAGCTCTAGTAACTGAAAATTTGAAGACTGGATCCTCAGGGAGGTCAGGGCTGGAATGGAAGATGTCAATTCTCTTGTTTTCTTTCAATATCTTTAACTCACTGATACTATCCTCAGAACCTAGGATGATTTCCAAAATATCTCATTTCTCCCATTAAAGCTTTTCCATTCTATTACTTGACTCAAAATCCCAGTTATTTAACAATAAATCTTAATAGTAAACAACAGTAACGAAATCCATGGTCAAGTATTTCTTCTGCTATTAGAAGACAGTATTCTTTTTTAAGATTGTATTTATTCATTTGACAGAGAGAGAGAGAGAGATCACAAGTAGGCAGAGGCCTGCAGAGAGAGAGAGAGTGGGAAGCAGGCTTCCCATTGAGCAGGGAGCCTGATGTGGGTCTTGATCCCAGGACCCTATGACCTGGGCTGAAGGCAGATGCTTAACCATCTGAGCCACCCTGGTGCCCCTAGAAGACAGTATTTTAAAATTATATTCCCACAGAACATCCATACTGAGGTGTTAAGTAAAACATTTTTAATGTAGGTCATTTCCCAACCCACACATATATCACAAACATGCAAACGGGTAGCTGATATGCTTTTTTTTTTTTAAGATTTTATTTATTGATTTGACAGAGAGATCACAAGTAGACAGAGAGGCAGGCAGAGAGAGAGAGAGAGGGAAGCAGGCTCCCTGCTGAGCAGAGAGCCCGATGCGGGACTCGATCCCAGGACCCTGAGATCATGACCTGAGCCGAAGGCAGCGGCTTAACCCACTGAGCCACCCAGGCGCCCCGATATGCTTTTTTCAATGCCACAGTCTTCCTCTTTTCCCTTATATAAACACTCATTAAATTGTCAGCTCTACTTAATTGTATTTTGTTCCATCTTTCTCCCCATTCCACAGCTCCTGCTGTATCAACTTTCCACTTATTATGGTTACGCTGTAGTTATACAGAAAAATATCTTCCTTATCTGTAGGAAATACATATTAAAGTCTTCAGTGGTGATGTAACATCAGGTCTGCAATCTACTTTCCAATTCTTTACAAAGTGGAAGAATTTCTTTGTACTTCACCTGTGACTTTTCTGTAAGGTTGTCATAGTTTCAAAATACTTTTTTTAAACAGAAGTTGTTTAGAAATCAAATATAAAGGCAGAGGTCACACTCCCCCCAAACCTATATGATAAATGAAAAAAAACAAAACCACACAACAAAAAGGCTTATATTAGTATATATCTAAATTTTATAAGACAAAGAAGTCATAGTGAAACATAATGATGATCTCATATGCGATATATTAATTATGTTGATAGCAACTGAAAGGAATATATAGAAGATCTGATATATCGTATTTTGCTATGGGGTAAAATCAAGGATTTATGGTATGAGTGTTTTTAAACCACAGCCACAGGTCATGACCTAATAGTAACTCATGATATAAATTTAGTGGGTACAGACCAGCACTAAAAACCATGAAATAGAACAGAATGAAAAAGTATGATCTCTAGCCTTTATGAATGCCACATATTAGAAAATTAAAAAACTTTCATACCATCTGTTATATCTTTTTTCCTTCATGACAAAAAGACGCAAAGAGATTTGTTCCAGAAATTAGATGTGCTAAAATCTGAGGGTGAAGTCAGATCTCTCTTTTCTTGGTGGAATGATTATCCCACTTACTCACCCAA